TTATTAAAAAAATAATATAGGTTTATATTAAATTTTCTTTCTTATTGAAAAAGATAACACACCTAAGCGAGAAGATGATTGATAATAAAAATCTAGTAAAATAAATTTATTTGGTTGAATTCTATATTTATTTTATTTATGTACAAATTATTTAATTACCAATTTACTTTAAAATGTGAAATAAATAAATAAATAAATATATTATATAAATTTTAAATTATTAAAAAATTGATAAATTTTTGTGGGTTAGCCCGTTAGAAAATGAATTAGGTTAGATTTTTTAACCCGTTTTTATCTAGTGAATTAACCCGTAACCTGTTTGCCCAATGCTACATAAGAGCCTTAACAATTTTCAAATCATTTATCATATATCAATTCTTTTTTTGTGTGTGTAAGGGGTGAAGACGTGTAAGAAAGTTGTTAAAAATATAATTATTTTTAAAAATAATTATATTATTACTTTCTTCATTAAAAAAACTCTTCCTAGCATAAATTATAAATATTTTTAAATAAAATCTCACATATTAATAAATATTATTAAATACACTTAAGAATTTTTTTTTCAAAATAAAAATATAAATTTTCAAAAACACTCATAATGTAATATATTGAAAAAGAGAAGAGGTGAAAATTAATTATAGAAAGAGATAGGGTAATATTAAAATAAACCTATTTATTTAGTAAAATTTTAATATTCTTAAAGTGTCTTATATTTTGAGACATCGAATCTTTTTTAAAAATATTTTATAATTTGGGACGAAGGAAGGGAATATAAGACATTTTTTTCTAAAGCTGGACATTAAAAAATACAAAAAAAATTCTTACTAACTAAACTTTTCAACCATTTATCTTTAAGTAAGATAACTTATTAAATTAGGACAGGTATGAAAAGTTGGTATTAGTTTAAAAATAATTAATTAACTTGTTAAAAAATACAATTCAATTAAATACCTTATATTTTCAAATGGGGTGAGTGCCATGTTGAAATTCCACTCAAATTTTCTAACATGCTCTTGATTTAGTTTAATAATTAATGTTGTATTGAACTTTTAAAGTTAGAAAAATAGCATATATATAATTAAAACATGATATTTATTCTGGTCCTAAATATAAGACCTCTTTAGCTGCTCCCCTGATCTTAAATATAAGACGTGATTAAAGGATTTGTTTTGATCATAAACACATAAAGCCTAAATCTTTGTTATCTTTTTATTTAATACTTTTTTTCTCAAATTATACCCGATTAGTTTCACATTTTGTTTCCACCATCTTGTCTTCCACACTGAATGCCCAGATTAAAATGGGGGTATATATCTAGGGGGAAAAAGTGAAGCATATTTTTAATCAATAATCACGAAAAGCTAACTTACACATTTTATTAATTAATTTCATGAATTAGTTCATTAGATCTTGTATTTAGGATTAAATTGAGTAACTCACGGAAATTAAGAAAAATTGTTAAATTGATTGTTATCATTATTGTGTCAGAAATGTATGTCACTTTTTTCCAAAAAAATTCTCCTTAAATGATCGTATAAGAGACAGAAAACAAAAAAGACTATTCTCTATTTTAAATTATAAGATACTTTTAAATAAAATTTTATATATCAGTAAACTTCGTTAAATACACTTAACAACTTTATCTTTCTAAAACAAAAATATAAACTTTTAAAAATGTCCATCATTTAATATGAAAATAGAATGGACAAAAATTAATTATAAAGAGAGAAAAGATAATATTAAAATTGATGCATTTAATAAAACTTTAATCTATTTAAAATATTTTATATTTTGGGATGGAAAAAACTCTTTTAAAAGTATTTTATAATTTGAGAAGGAGAGAATAATAAGGATAATTTGAGAAAAAAAATATCAAACGAGGAAGATAAAGAAGAACGAGTATAATACAATTTGTAAAAATAGTGACTTGTCTTATTAATTTCAATATGAGACATATTTATACAAAAGAAAAAATATCAAAGAATAAAATAAAGATCTATCAAAGAATAAAATAATAACAGAAAATAAAATAGCTATAACCAATCTCACTATAATTATACAAAATAATACTCCCTCCGTCCCAAATTTCAAGACATTTTTAAATAAAATCTCACATATCAATAAACTTCATTAAATAGACTTAACAACCTTATCTTTTTAAAATAAAAATATAAACTTTTAAAAATACCCATTATTTAAGATAATGAAAAGAGAAGAGATGAAAATTAATTATAGAGAGAAAAATGATAATATTAGAATTGGCATATTTAATAAAACTTTATTCTATCCAAAGTGTATTATATTTTGAGATGGAAAAGCTCATTCAAAAGTATTTTATAATTATGCAATCATGGAAGTAGCTTTTTGAATAGCAGTGCCGAGAGTAACAGTGGAGGCAATATTGGATGGGGAGGAAGAAGTCATGGTGGCAAGTGCCATTGGCTCCGGTACCAAATATAAAAGTCTGGAACTAATAGAAACTGAACGACTTGTTTATCATGGTGAAACTAGGGTTACATATATAGTTGCATGTGAGATCGTGAGTGATTGTATTTGAACAAGACTATCTTAACTGATACAATATTCTAATATAGTAATACATATCTGATACATGGGAAATAAACACGCTAGAGATAATACACATGTAGAAGACGCCGCATGGGCTTGACCGCATGAACATGAGCCTCATTTAATGGACTTCTTTAATAGACCCCTGAGGCTAGTATGGTAATATGAGTATTACTGTTAATTCTTTGTGCTTTGCTTTATGGATATTTGCCATTTTAGGGTGAGAATGTTATGGAAGATTTACAAGAAAGCAATATTCAAAGCTGACTACGAATTCCTAGATTGGATTATTCCCCCTGGAGCTAAGAATTTGATCTCTAATCTCCTGCTTCTACTTGAAAAGCACGACTTGAATATGCCACACAACGAAGAGAATGATGACTTCTTTGCGTGCCTATTCTCATTTCCCTGATAACTGATATTCTTCTTCTGCTCCTCCTCCTCCTCCTCCTGCTGGTGGGATATGATGCTGATCTTTTCCAGTGGTTTGATAAGGAGGTGGAACACGATGATAGATCTGTCTTTTTTTTTTTTTAATAAAAAAAAATCCCAAGTAGTTGCCAACATGACAGTGAAAATGGTCAACTAACAGTCACCTTTAATGAAGGGCAATATTACTCCAGCAAAAATTTAAAATATCAAGTGTAACTGGTAAAGAAGTTCTAAGACAAATTTATCTTTTAACCCATTAAATTAAAATCATCATATGTATAGCTGCAAGAAGAAAATTCTTACAAAGACCCAATATATCATGCCACTTATGCCCTATCCAATCAAATCGTACGAGTTCAATAAAAAAAATATCACATGTTATTGTTTTTAATGATTTTATTTTTAAAATAGAGTGCCATTTTAATTTCTTGTTTTTTTTCTTTCTCTTTAGCATCATCAATGGCAAAATCAATTTATATTTTATAGTTATTGGTGGATATTTTAAAAATATATATTGATATTTCAAAAGGAATAAATATTTTTATGAATAATATTAAACACTATTTAAGGCTATTAAAATTAAAAATTGATTTCTTTAATTGTCTTCAAATGCAATGTTTAGAAACCCCCATAATGAATTACTATAATGAACCATAATGTTCATGAAACTAGTAATTAAATCATGCTTTCAGTGTTTAAAGCTTATCTAATCTTGTTTATAAATATCAAGGAATGTTGTGAGTCCAATGTCAGGCTCTTTAGTTTTTGGGTCAATTTTTTCCTCCACCTCTATACTATGTTGTGCTGCCTGAGTAATATTTTACTAGTCTTTGTTGTTCTGTGTCCATATTTATTTTTGTAAGATGAGTCTATTTAATTCTGAAAAGCTATCGCTCGATCAACCAATGTGGCAAAATAACTCTTAAGAATAATGTCTTCCAACACAACTCAGACTATAGTTTTACTTGCTGGTGCCAATAATTACATGATATGTCATGTCTTTATTGAACAATACAAAGACAACGTGATGCATGGAATCCATGTAAATATAATGATTTCATTACTGTTATTACTTATTACATGCATTAGTGTGTATTTATGTAGAAGGCGAATCAATTGTTGACAACAGAGGGAAAAAAAACAAAAACAAAAAAACAGGGGGAGATGTGAGTGAATCAATTTTGTTCGGTATTAATTAAGAAAGATTTTGTGTAAAACAAGATTGAATAATACCCTACAACATCATCAAACAATTCAAACCATATATCACTTTCAAGGTTCAAATCTATATGAAAGTTATACGATTCTACCAATCATCACACAGTATTATATTCACACAATCAAGTTATAGTGTGATTATCCTTAATGTTGCCATCAAATTCAGTCGCTATGTCGTGAGATCACAATTTCAATCCTTCATTGGTCAGTTGATCTCTCAATCAAAAAATTATATATACAGATCCACCTATAGTAACCTTCTTGTGCGAGCTATTAGCAAAAAGCTCACGTATGTCATTACTCGCAATTCTTAGTGACTAAACCTTATTGTTAATACGCCACACATATGAAAGCTTTTAACATATCATGGGTTAAAATAGCACAGGACGGCGAATCATTCCTGTAATAAATTTAGGAAAAGGAACGAGGAAGAAAGCGGTATGCCAAGATTACATTCTACTTCCTTTTTCACTTGCTCTTTATGCTGAGGCACTCATAAGCTAATTATTTCTCTCTCGCTGAATAAAAATATATATGTATGTGGCGAGTTACGATCATTTCAAAAATTGGGTCAATTTCAACTGTTTTTGTCCGTTGCTCTAATATCATAATCATAATTTATGACTCGGGGGCATTTCGCGAACCCTTCATACTTCTTTTGTTGATCATAATCTTTGAAAGGAAAAAAAAAAGTGAAAGCGTTATAATCAGAATCAGAATCTCTTCATGCAGCTGGCTAGCTAGCTACGAACTTTGAGAGTTAACATAATGGGGGCAATTCGTACGAAACTGCCTTATGCGGGCCTTAACTTTATATGTAAACAAAACATAAATTACATGAAAGTATCGAGACATATTATAAAGTAATTAATCATATATAGAGAGATCACGGATATAGATATATAGAAATCTACATCGTCTCTTCCCCCTATATACGTTTCTTAAATGGTACAAGCAAGTTTAAACTTTAGAGGAACTCTCACTATGATCCCCAGAGAGAGAGAGAGAGAGAGAGAGAGAGAGAGATGGTCGATCATCCTCAGAGGCACAACCACACCCGAAATTCCAAATCTTAATTTTCTCAAACCTTCGAACTGATCTCCCTCTCTTCTCCAGTCTTCTTGCTGTTGTTGCTGCTGCTGCTTCTGCTCTGTCTGGTTGTGATTATCCTTCTCCTTCTTCTCTCCAGCCTCGACATCTCCAGTTGGCTGAGAGAGGACCTGTTGTTTGTCATCCACGGTGGTGACGGCCGTAACGACGCCGTTTTCGATGTCCCCTTTGTGTTCCGGGAGCTTGTGGTCCTGTGCGGGCTTGTGATTTCTGTACACTGCATACAGCACCATCTGAATCGTCCCAAAAGCAATACCCACAAAGTTCGGGAGCTGTCCAGAAAATAACACAAGAAATAAGTATCGCGATATCATCAACTCTCATATACATAAAAAAACAAAAAACAAAATTGTTCAAAGATCAAATTTCACGGGACATGTGACGGAGATCATGAACTTACAGAGATATAGATATCTTTGAGGAGAACACCGTAGCTAAGCCACGTTATGGCGCTGATGGTGAGGAGGAATGAAAGAGTGAAGGGCATGAACTCCACACTCTTGGTGCGAATAACGACTCTCTGCGTAATCGGAAACAAATGAATCAACATTAATATGTAATGCTCTGAGACGCATGCATGGAAGTATATATTTTGACAAATTCATATATATGAGGAGGACTCACAATAATGCTTAAAGGAGCAACAAAAACACTAGTTGAGAAGACGACGCAAATCCAACCGAGAAGCTTGATGCGGGCCGCACGCTCTTTGGATAGGAGATGAGTCAGAAGGACGATTATGCAAAAGCCACCAAAGTTAAGCAACAGGATCATCCTGAGCGTGAACACCTGCCATCATAATTATGTTTTAAACAAAGTTGATTTATCGAGAGAGGTGGGGGGATAAGTGGGATGATGGGAATATAATGTGAAAGAGCAGGCGTATACCCTGGCTTTCTTGGGGCAATAAGTGATGTAAATGACAAGGTAAATGATCTCGATGACACAGCCGACAGCATTGATGGTGATGATGAGGAATTCTCCGGTCTTGATATAGGCATAGAATATCCAAAGCATTGCGCTGAACAGTGCTGCCACATACGGAATCGACTGAAACCCCTCTGTTGTTTTCTTCTTACACACCCTGTAAAATGTCGGCCTGCATGCAATTGCAATGTCTCAGCCGTTTAATAGTTTCACATGGGTAGTAGAAATACAATAAGAAGGAAATGAATGGATTAGATCATGCAACTGTACTTACAGTGGTGCTAGGAAGCACATGAAGGAGACAATGTTGCCGAAAATACCGACGATGAAAGATGCAGGGGGAAGAGCCATGGCTTGATTTGGAATCTCTCACTCTCTCTCTCTCTCTCTCTCTGAGTCAGAGTTTGAGAATTCCCTAATAGAAGGGAGAGAAGGGGAAGGAAGGTGAAGCTTTGGAACCGTGAGACCCTGCCACGAAAGAAATGCAGAGGTGGAGCTCCCCTATATATAGGGCAGTGTCTCATGTATGCATGGGATAGTCATGCCATGCTAGCTCTCTACTATTATTACTATTATTATTATTATTATTATTATTATTATTATTATTATTATTATTGGGATGGGATTGCATGGACAGCATGCAATTCAAGTATGAATCAGCAGTGATAATATGGGAGGAAGCGCTTTCCAAACAAGTAGCTTTCTGGGGTACAGAAGACGATATCATGCACCCAACTTCATCAATTTGCCAACTCAACACATTATTGGAAGTGGTTGGTGTATTGTAGTTCTGCATTTATTGCTCGGGCCATCCCCTTTGCTTATACGACGCGTTACGTTCCCCTCCTGCTTTCTCCACTCCCAAACGCTCCCTTCATTTCCCTTTAATTTTCCTCTCTTTCATCTCATTATGTATCATTCACCAATTTTGAATCCTATATATTGGCATCTACACATCAATTAAGTTTTTTTCAGCCATCATTTTCTTTAATTAAAAATTTCATTTAGAATTGAAACATTTTTAATTAAGAATCAATCTGTTACCTTGTTTGTGTTATATAAGCCAGCTCTTTGGTATTTTCTTTGTGCGTTACGCGGTATATACTATACGCCCTGGCTATTTTCCTGAAGAAAACCAAATACTACGATATTGATCGAAGAAACCAGACAAAAATGCCTTTTAAAAAAAAATCTAAAAACACGCTGAATAGGTAGCCAGGTATTGAGCGGGTGAAAAGGCAGTGTATGAGGTACAACCTGGTGCCAAATGCTCAGGGCCAAATTGCGCAGAGCAGAACCAGAAGTCACCTATTAGGCTACCAAATTTTCATGGATTCTAAATAAAATGTAGACACGTGTAAAACGGAGGGAGATCGGAGCATGAATGCTTTTGTCAAGTAGACAAAATATTGGTCCTGGCCTGGCAAGTATTCATATATACAGGATCTGTTTGGGAGGTGATTCAGAACAGCGAAGCGTTGTAAGAGTATTGCGATGAATGAAGGCGATAACTTTTTGAGTGATCACGCGTGAACATAGTGAAAATTCAAAGTCAAACTATCCTGCCTGATGAATCCGCGTGTCACCCTCTAGTCATAAGACAAGTATAGGTATCTGCCCATTCCATTATATTAGATGCATGCTCTATAATTCACCTGCTTGTTTAACAGGTCATGCGTTTGCAAGAATATGCCCATTCGGATTTGTTTTATTCTCATGGATTACTAATCACGTAGTATCATGAAAAATTATTCACGGCAATAAACAAAATGAGTTTTTGCAGACTGATGGACACTTAATATCGCAATTAATATAATGCGTACAAACTTGCCAAGAGATGAACAAAGGGAGTAGGAGTGCTCGTATATTTTTATGCGGGTGGACTCGTGAATTGTGATCACATTTAATACAGCTGGATTTCTCGGTGGAAGGTGCAGAAGTTTAGAATGGCAGACGACAAGAAAGGATGAGGTTTCACATTTGCCAAGTTTACTACTACTAATAACTAAATTTATACGAGCAAATACTAGTAATATGCTCCCTCCAAACTATAAAGTAGGTTATTATTTATTAATTTACCATTCTAAAATAATTGTTAAAATTTTGATTTTTTTAAAAAAAATCTTACATCTTTTCAATCATTGAGTGTTCTAAATATAATATTTGATTTATTCAAAATACTTTCATTAATTACTCAATAAAGCATGGTGTACTCTTTCTAATTCTATTTATAAGTCAATTTTAACATTTTTATCATAACCAAAGAAGAAAAAAACCTCAATAGCTCTATTTGAAAAATTAACAAGTTTTTAACTATACTCTTATTAAATATACATACTTTGAAAACAAAATATTCTGGTTTTTAATGTCCTTCCTAACGTTTAATAGGAATAAAAGGGTAAAGATAGACACAACAATTATTGAAGTGTCTTATAAATAAGATCAAGATAAATACTCTATTCTTGTTCTATAAATAAGACCAAAAAAGTAATTGCAAATATATATATATATATATATATAACAATTATGTAATATCTTATACTCCCTCTATCTCAAGTTATAAGGCATTTTTAAAGAAGTTTTTTCATCTCAAAATATAAGACACTTTGGATAAATTAATGTTTCATTAAATGCATAAATTTTAATATTATTATTTCTCTCTTTATAATTAAGTTTTGTCTCTTCTCTTATTAATATATTAAATAATGAATATTTTTGAAAGCTTATCCTTTTGTTTTGAAAAGATAAGATTATTAAGTGTATTTAATGAGATTTATTAATATATAAAATTTTATTTAAAAATATTTTATAATTTAAAACTGAGGAAGTATTCTAGATCAGATGAAATTTCTAAACAAAAGTTGTATACTTTGATCCGGAAGGAGAAGGAAGAGGGGGAGATATTTTTGGAGGAAAAGGGGAGGGGGGTGAGCGTGCACGTACGTGTCGTTTTGTGTAGCTAAGTTATGAAAGAGTAAAAGAAAATGGCAATAATTGAAGATTAAGGAAGGATTCCTGAGCTGGATGCATGATCTCGTCTCCAACACTTCGCAAAATTCAAAGATTTCACATCTTCCCCAAGAAAAGTGCCTTCTTCAACTTTAACATGATAGTTACAACCACAACACAACGACGCCGCTATCTAAATCATCTCTCTCCCCTTCTTTTTCATTATATTTTTTCTTGGATCGTTTGAGACTTGAGAGTTGAGACAAATTAAAGGCCCCCAGCTCGAGAAGAGATATCTGCACAAATTAATTTGCTGATGAGTAGCGAAACCCCAGCTGGGGGTTGTGGCCACCCAAATATTCGAGGCACTACTGCAATTATTTTTTTATTTTAAAAAGAAAACTATTCCATCAGGTCCAGTACAATGTAAAACACTTGCAATATTTATAGTGCATACTCAATCTATTAAAAAAATTTGATCTATTTTTTCCGTTTTTCTCTTCTTCGTAACTATCATTGAGTAATATTTTTCACGCATAATTACTCAATGATCATGTTAATTAACACAGGTAAAAACGAAAAGATATTGATCTTAAAAATATAAAATATCCTAAGTTATATATTTTGTAGAAAGTGCTATTGGAGGGAATATAATACCTTATTCTACATTGCAACTATTGAGTGACGATAATGCTATGATCATACATAAACATTAAATTAAATATGTCAATATAAAAATCATATGAAATTCTCCTTAATTACTGAACAAGTTCTTTTATTGTGAATGCCGGCGGCAAAGCAAGCTAATGAACTATAATGACTTTTTAATTCCTGTCATTTGTTAAAGCTAGCAGTTGAACTTATTTAATTGTTATCTTTGCATATTTATATGTATTTCTATGGTTTAGTGACCACGCTTCTGAATTTCTTTAAAAGTCGATATACGAATTTGAAGTGCTCATGCATGCATGTGGCGCATGTAATGAAGCATTTAGAAATTTGGGTTCGTGACGCTAGGTTCTGCCATAATATGGGTAAGACGGCACTGGAATAAAGGAAACACAAGAAGAAAAGAGTGTCGTAGGGTCTTGATTTTCATGAGTGGTACATTGCCTGACGAATTTAATTTTATCTGTGTGTGTGGATGAAATTGCGTGGTTGCTTTTAAATCCAAATTCAGCCACGTATATATGATTGCCTGATTTTATTTATATTTGGTGAATATACTATAAGCCTCTTGATCTAAGGGTTTTGTGTGTGGCTCGAAATGCCAATAACAAAGACAACACCTGAAATTGGCTCAATTTGTCAACAATCAACGTAGTAGGAGGAGACCTTGATTGAAATGAAAATGGACTTGTGCTTATTGCTAATTAATTACCCATGGGACACCCCCCCCCAAAAGACTTCTTCCGTCTCTTTCAATCCATGAACTATATGCAAAATGTCACAAATATTTTTAAAATCAATTATAAGTCAATTATATCCTTCAACTTTTGATATTACTTCCATCATTATCCTGGCATTAAAAACACTTAATGTTCATTAGTTATCAGTGAGTCTCACTATTTTTTTATACTTTTTATCAGGTTAAGGGTTATTTTTGTCCCTCAACTTCTATTCAAAGGGTTAGTTTTGTCCCTTAACTCAAATCTTTTATAACTAAAAATATTAAAATATATAATATGGAGCTCACTAATGGTCAACCAACAGTGAAAAAAGGCAAGATGATGAACAAAGGAATCTTTAAAATTGAAGGATATAATTGACCTATCATTGAGTTTATAAGCATTTGTAACATTTCATGCACAGTTTAAAGACTAAAAATGACCAGTAACCCTTTAATAAAACGTTATTTGTGAAATGTTATATTAAATAGATTGAGAGAGGAAATATAATAAAGAGAGAAGAGAAAAATATTAGAATAAATATAATAAATAGAATCTTATTTTTAGCATTGTTTTGTACGTTAGAAGATAGAATCATATCCAACAGTATTATATATATATATATATATATATCTCTCTGTGTGCGTGTGTAAAGGGACAGAGCTTGCATTATGATTAGGGACGTGGCAAGGTAGGAGTAGATGAGATGTATGTGGGTAGATGAAGGCCACATAATTAAGGAAGGGGGGAATTGTCATTATGGATTAGGTCATGCCCTTTCCCTTTTGGTTCGAAATTTGATAGATATTTTGTCTTGTGTCTGGGCTCTGTCAAACGTCTCCTGGCCACTTTCCCAACCATGAGGTCACAATAGGAGAGGGACAATCCTCTCATCATTTCATTCTGAGCTCACATATATCTTCCATCGTAATATTGGAGTGCTGGAGAATTTTAGTTAAATTCTTTATTCCCAAATGAATCTTCTCTATTATTGGTTCTGGCACTGTTTTATATGGCTGCCACTGAATATGCGTCTTTAGGCTTATATTGGGGTTGGATTCAATCCAGCAAATCTTTGCCCAACCTTCCACTCTCTTTAACCGCTTTCATGTTTTCGTTTGCACACCCCATGGCTGATTTTTTTTTTTTTT